GCTAGATGTTATTAGATCCTACCGGATAGTGGCCTGTGGAGACAGACCAGCATTCTCTGTAGGAAGGCTGGAGAAACAAGGCTTATCCACTGCCCCAACAGGAAGTGATGGAGCTGCTGGTGCTAGGGCCCAGTTTCACAAAGGCAGTGCTGAGAAGAAAGAGCACAGGCCTGGTAGTTAGGAAACCAAGTGCTAAATCTGCTCTGTGGCTCAGGTAAGTTACTGGGGGGGGGGGGGGGGCGGGGCGGGAATTCTTCATTGGCTAAGTGATAACCTTTGGTCCCTCTACCCCAGAGCTGGAGCTGTGGGGAGTAGCAAGTCAGATAATGGGTTGAGAGGGTTCTGTAAAGTGCATGGGATGATAATAATAAAAACAACAGCAAAACCACTGTCCTCCTCCTCTTCAGATGAGACCACACTTCTTTCTGTTTCACTGCCTAGGGAATAAGAGAACAAACCTTTCTTCCTCACTGATGAAGGAAGAGTGGAATTGTTTATAAATGTTTGCTTATCAGACTTCCAAATTAGCACTCCCCACCCGCATTTCCTCCTAGAAAATCTACCAGGGAATGCCATCTCAGAAACCACACACAGTGAGTTCAATTAACCACAGAATCTTATCTACAACTGTTTGACTTTATTTTTGGCAGAGAAACGTGTGTACACATGCATGTGCACATGGCAAAAGGTGAGCAAAAAGGAATAACTAGAGTTCTGAAATCTAAACAATCATTCTAGAGAAACATTTGGGGGAACAGAAGCAAGGCAAATTGTTTAATTCAATTTGGCTTCAGTCAGCAAAAGAGGAAACACAGTCAGCAAGAAAAGGGGAGAAGCATTTGGTCTTGGGGATCCTTGGTCTAGTTTTTACATAACTACTTTAATAGAAATTGCTTTTAAAGGCTTTTTTTTGGTCTTCAAGCATGAATCTTCTCTGTTGGTAGCTCAACAGACACAACCATGGACACATAATAAAGAACATAGAACTTGGAAGAAACTTCCAGATTAACTCTAACTGGACCCTCTCATTTTATAGATCAACAAACCATGGCCCCAGAAAGGGAAGGATTTGCTCAAGATCATGGGGCAGGGTGGGATGATAGCCCTGACTTTATACTTAGTGTAGAGCCCTTTCCAGAGGCAGGCAGGAGATAGTGAGCCCACCTGGGCCCAGCCTGGGCCTCTTCTCAGGCTCCTCCTAGGACAGTTTGCTCTGTTGGTGGGGGAGGGTCACCAGGGCACAAGTCACCCAAGTCTGGCCTAGAAACCAAGATGCCTGACAGGCCCATCTGTTATAGTCAATTTACCCAAATGCATTAACAAGCAAAAGAGCCAGCACAAAGCAGCAGTTATAGCTGGCAACCTCCTACTGAACAGCAGGTTCATCGCCTGCAGTTGTTTGGGGAAGTCTGCTGTGTGCTGACTCCCAGGGGGCCCTGTCCACTTCCTCTGAGGTGCAGCCTGCTGTGTCAAACCTGCCCAGCCTCACTCACAGCCTAGGTGGGCATCACCAGGCCTTTCAAACTCAGGCAGTTTTCAGTGGCTCCTGTGAAATCTACCACTTATCCTTCACATTAGCTCTGGAGGATGATCTGCTGCCAAGGTCTATAAGGCTTTTCCTGGGACCCAGCTAACAAGATCTGGCTCCTGACTGCCTCACACACTCCAATTTGGAAGTGACAAGTAAATCACAAATGTCTAGGAGCCCTTGTTTTCACCATTGTATGAAGAGCAAATGACAGGAAGCTTCACATTAAAAGTTCAATCTGCTCCCAGCCCTCTTGAACCGCCCACTCTAATTCAGATGATCAGACACGAGTTTGCCAAGGAGATCACTGAATTTAAGGGAACAACCTCCACACTGTCCCCCTGCCTCAGTCTCCCCTCTCCATCCCAACTATACACTGCTCACCACAGCAAGTGAACTAAAAGCACAGCTTTGGTCCATCCCCCCACCCCCGCCCCCGTGTTTTAACTTCAGTAACTCCACTATGTACATAGACAGGAGTGCTAACTTCTTGGCCAAACATGGCTCTTCACAGTTTGGTAACAAATGACATCCAGGACACTGACAAGGATTCTCCCAGCTGTGCCTGGGCCATGAACACCCCTGTATTTCTGCCTCCACTCCCATGACCCTGATACACTGGAGCTCAGTTCCTCTCTGAGGCCTGCCTTGCACTCCAGACCAGGACTGGGGGCCCAGCACTCTTGCCTTTGGCATTCAGCCACAGAAGGGGCAAATGCAATATGGCTTGATACAGTCCTTGCTGCCCGAAGTGGAAGTAAGAAGGTTTCCATAACAGTTTCTCTGCAGAGGAAATTTCAGATCTTTTCCCTCTTTTCCATCTGGTCTCATCAGGCAAGGGGTTGGGGGGTGGCAATTTTGTCCCACAGGGAAATTTACAATATCTGGAGACATTTTTGGTTACGACAACTGGGGGAGGGTACCCCCACAACGAAAGATTATCCAGTACCGAAAGTTATATGCTAAGGCTGAGAAATCTTGTATTAGAGTAATTAACAAATAGCAAAACCGACTTAACCAGTTCCCTTCTATTGGTGATACCAGCAAACAGTGAAATACCTAACATAAGTGCTGAAGACAGGAAAAAGGTTTACTGAGGGCCTGAATAACCATAAATTGACACCTACTTTGGATTCATCCAGAAATACACCAGATGGCAGTCTGGCAGCCCCCAGTGCTGCAGAGTAGCAGGAGACTTGGCACTCACTGCTCTCTATTGATGACTTCCAATGATGGCCTGAGCACCTCCCTGTCTAGCCCTGAGCTAGCAGTGGGGGCACAAAGAAATGACAAACTGGCTGTCCTCACATGGATGTGAGAGAGAAACATCGGTGGGTTACCTCCATACACATCCTAGTCTAGTGGGGACATACAGTACTAAAGAAGCAATTAAGAATTTTCATTCTTGGCTAGGCTGATATAACTTCCACTATCTTTCAAAAATCCTTCACCCTGGCCTGTGTGGCTCAGTTGGTTGGAGCACTGTCCGTGCAACAGGCGGTGGAGGGTTCAATTCCCAGTCAGAGCACATACCTGGATTGTGGGCTCCATCCCCAGTCAGGGTGTGTATGGAGGTAACCCACTGATGTTTCTCTCTCACATTGATGTTTCTCTCTCCTCCCCCTTCCTTTTTCTAAAATCAATTTAAAAAAAAACCTTCTGGGAAGGGAGAAAAACAAAGTGGAAAATAAAGCAGTGGTAACTACAGCGTCAATTAAAACTATATTATGCTCAGCTGGTGTGGCCCAGTGGTTGAGCGTTGATCTATGAACCTGAAAGTCACGGTTTGATTTGTGGTTGGGCATGTGCCCGGGTTGCTGGCTCGATCCCTGGTGGGGGTATGGGAGCAGCCAATCAATGATTCTCACTCATCATTGATGTTTCTATCTCTCTCTCCCTCTCCCTTCCTCTCTGAAGTCAATAAAAATATATTTTAAAAAATCTATATTGCTATAGCAGCCCCTGAGATGAGATCAGCTCCTGGGTTTGCACCTGCTGGGCTTATGGGGCTTGTAAATAATTAAAAAGCAATTGAAAGGGGAGATCAAAGTATTAAGTGGATTTCTCCCTCTCAGGGTAACCAGGGTGTTTCATTGCTGCTAGTCAGGTTATCTTTTAGGATTATATTCTTGTTTTTCACTGACACAGGCAGCTCCAGACAACAGTTGGAAGAGTAAACTATGAGGGCTGCTTTGACTACAGTGGGGCCTTGACTTACGAGTTTCATTTGTTCCGAGACCGAGCTCGTTAAGGAGCTCGTTAACTCAAATTACTCTATCAACTCTGCAAAAAATCTGCTGGTATCTCAAAAAACTTGTTAGTCGGGACACTCGTAAGTCAAGGCCCCACTGTATTTTGATATGCATGGAGATGGGGGACACACACCAAACCTCAAACTTGTGATTGTCTTTTGTGAACAAAGAAATGACAAAGTAAGTAACAGGCATGCTACTAAGAAGGCAATTCGGATTTGGAAGGTAAAGGAAGGGGAAGGAGAAGAAAAGACAGGGGGATGAGGGTGATTGGAGATGGAAGTAGGGAGAGTTCACTTAGAATATTTAGCAGCTGGGGCTGCCATTATAGCTCACCCTTGGATAAGAGGAGCATTTCATTGCCAGATCTCAATGAAGGAGCTGACACAAAAATCAAGGATTGCATAATCATGGGGAAGAGGCTAGTGGGAGTAGCCTTCTCCCATGGCTTTGTCCTGAGACCTACACAGGTTGCTGAGGACCTTCTCCTAGAGAGGCTGGGGTTCTGGCCATGCTTCCTGAGGGCTGACCCAGATGGTGGACCCATTGCTATGAAAGGCTATAAAGACAGGAGGTTGAGTCACAGGGCTCAAGACTCACTCAAGCCATGGTCCATAGTGAGATGATTGGGGGTAGGTGAGGGAGAGTGAAAGGAGAGGAGAGAAGTGAAAGGTGTAATCAAGCAGACACCTATGTACCTACAGTTAAACTACAGGAATGCCCCCACCAAGCCAGTGGATGCAAAAATCAATGAGCCAATGGGTTAGAAAAAGAGTTAGCTTATCCTTTCACGGGTCATTTCCGACCCTCCCAACAAATCCTGAGGGGCCTCTATTCTCTCACTGGCCTTTTTCAGTCTCTCTAAGGCTAGATGTATCATCAGGAAGCCTCACATACTAGTTTACATGTGATGTCCAAGGAAGCTATAAGGATAAGAAAAAAGTATATTTAAATTTAAAATAACTCCAGAGACCAGTTAATCAGAAGAGTGACAAAAATAAGACAGGATCAAGTCTGAATGATCAGTCCCTTCATTTTCTGCAAGGCCCTCTCCAATCTGGTTGTCAGTTGTTCAGCTAAGTTTGTAACCAATCAGCAGTAAATGCCTTGTCTTCCTGAACTGACTCTGGCACTCTATGGGGAGGAGTTAAACCAAAGTGTGAATTGCACACGGTAGGCACTCAATAAATATTAACAGAATTGAAATAATGCACACTCACCCCTCTTCTGCATAAAGATGAAGAGGTCATCCAGGAATTCTTTCCTTTCCGGATCACCGTCCAGTTCATACAGCTGCAATCCGAGTTCCCCCACCCGCCCCCCAAAAAACACAATGAAAAAAATCCGTCTTATGCAGGAAGCCTTACACCAGAGATACACAACCATCTGAATGACTACAAATATGACTCATAGGCCACTCCTGTCCTATTCTTTGGGGATCACATACAACGACCCACTGCAGAACTGCCCTTTTGTTATCACAAAGGAAACATTACAGACCTTGGCAAAATCTCGAGAGATCTCTCTTCCTCGGCCTCCATCTGCATCATCACTCCAAGCCAAACCACCATTCTAAAGGGGAACAAAGCACAGAATTCAGAAGGGAGTAAGAAGAGAGCATTAGAAAACAAGGCAATCCTTTAGGACAGGGGTGGGCAAACTTTTTGACTCGAGGGCCACAATGGGTTCTTAAACTGGACCGGAGGGCTGGAACAAAAGCATGGATGGAGTGTTTGTGTGACCTAATATAAATTCAAAGTAAACATCATTACATAAAAGGGTACGGTCTTTTTTTTTTTTTAGTTTTATTCATTTCAAATGGGCCAGATCCGGCCCGTGGGCGTAGTTTGCCCACGGCTGCTTTAGGAGGAAGATGAAGAGCATTAGCAATTGTGCTATCCTGGCTTACACTGCTCAGGTCCGTATCTCTGCCACCCTTATAGGGAGAGCTTGTTGTTGTTTTTATTTCCAATTATGGTTCCAAAATGAGAGGAAATCTGGTGGAAGAATCATCTCCATTTGTTGAAGGAGGGTGGGCATTACTTATACGGAAGAATTTTGGAAGAGGACACAAAGACCCAATTTCCTGAGAACCTGCTCACTCAGCTGTTCTTCCAAAAGAAGTCACCACTCTGAGATGTACCACTTTTCTGCAGGTTCTTTATGGTATACTAGTGTCCCAGTGCATGGTTTCGTGCACATTGAAAGTAAATTAATTAGAAGAAATATTTTAATATCGCTATTCGCCCTTTCTCTAAAATAGAAGTGTCAACCAAAATCACAATTGACAATGACAGATTGAAACACACGCATGCAATTGGCACCAGCGAGAGCTTTATATGTATTTACATGTATCATGCATGCTTGAGTCAAATTAGCCATATATATATGTATGTATGTGTGTGTGTGTGTGTGTGTGTATGGTATATATATATATATATATATATATAAATATATATATATATATATATATAAACTTGCTTAATTAGACCTGCTTTCTGATTTAGCTAAACTTTTTCCAGTCCAATGAAGCACCCCAACTTCTCTTTCAGGTAACTGTCAGCAACACAGAAGTAAATATCAACATGAAGCAGATTATTATTGTAGATCACACAGGGAGAACAAAGGGTAAAATATTTAACTGTAGCAGTGTTTGACTATATTCTGCACAGTGAGAAAACCTGAAGTCATTTTCAAGATCCTCCATTTCTTTCTTCTTTTCAGTCAGGTCAAGTTTCTAAACTTTCTAAATCTCTGTTTTCTGACTAATGAAAAGAAAATAGGATTCCACCGAGTCTCCTATCTACCTACTCCAGGACTTCTGTGAGGATGAAATGAGATGAGGCACAGGAAAATGCATCACAAACATTTGGTTAAATTGTAAAATGTTTGCACCTGACTATAAAGCAAGCCGGGTTCCTGGGCTGAAGAAACTGCAAGGAGGCTAGTTACTAGGGAGAGGAAGCTGGGCGTTGCTATGTGATGTCATTACCTGGCACCCACACTGTTTCCGGGCTGAGCTGGGCTGTGGACCGCATTTTGCGCCATGGGGTCGTGGCAGTGTTGGCTGCAATTTGGTGCGCTGTCGCTCCAGGGTGGTAGTGGGACTTGTGTCCCACTTGGAGGAAGCCAAGTGTTGGTTTGTCAGCACCAGGTCCATGGTGCCGTTTATTTTTAAATGGCCCAGTCCACGTCATGGCAGCCACTGTGTTTGTACATTTTATGTAATGTTGTAAAGATAGCTAGCCTGGCTTTCCATACAACACTCTAAGTGGGGGTTAAGGGGTCAAAGGCAGCAGGCCACAGATACCAAAGTTGTGATATCTCAGCCAAGACTCACTACTAGAAGCCCTAAGTCTAGCAATGAGAATTCCCTAGTGATGTGAGGATCCCCAGAGCCTGAAATTATTCCCAAGGTACAGAGACCCTATGCCACTTGGTTGATGTTCATTTTTTTAAAATACATTTTTATTGATTTCCAGAGAGGAAGGGAGAGGGAGAGAGAGAGAGAAACATCAATGATGAGAGAGAATCATTGATTGGCTGCCTCCTGCATGCCCGCTACCAGGGCTCAAGCCCGCAACCCAGGCTTGTGCCCTTGACCGGAATCAAACCCAGGATCTTTCAGTCCACAGGCCAATGCTCTATCTACTGAGCCAAACCAGCTTGGGCAATTGTTCATTTTCATTAGAGAAATAGCGAAAACCTACTCATAATTCAATTGATTAGGTTAAATACCACTCAACGGAAGGAAGGAAATGGCAAATATAAATATGCCTTTGTTTATGTTCTTGAAATTTGCTTCTTAGCCTTATTCAGTTGGATAACACTTATTCCTCAAATCAGGCATTGTTTTCCATGGGCAGCCTCCTCTTCACCCCCAGCTGTGCTAAGTACCCTGGAAATAATCTCTGTACATTTTGAGCTCAGAAATTCACATTACTATTTAGCTAAACTTTTTCCAGCCTGTATTATAAGCTCCTTGAGAGCAAAGGTGTCTTATTCATCTTTGTATCGCAAGCACATAGCACATTGCCTGGCACTTATTAGGCCCCAGTGAATGCTTGATGAACCATAATCATTGTTAAAAGGCTATTTGAGCCAATTAAGCATCTTTTAAAAATACACAAAAGAACACATATACCATACAGGAGAGTAAAAACCACCCTCGGCTAGGGGGATATATAAAATGTCATATTAGCCCTAGCTGGTTTTGCTCAGGGGATAGGGTGTTGGCCTGTGGACTGAAAGGTCCCAGGTTCGATTCCAGTCAAGGGCATGTACCTTGGTTGCAGGCTCCTCCCTGGCCCAGGCCCTGGTCGGGGCACATGCAGGAGGCAACCAATCGATGTGTTTCTCTCACATCAATATTTCTCTCTCTTTCCCTCTCCCTTCTACTCTCTCTAAAAAATTCAATGAAAATATCCTCAGGTGAGGATTTAAAAGGAAAACAAAGATTAAAAGACTGAATTTAAAAAAATTTAAAAAGTCGTATTAGAAGCCTGCTGTTCACCCCTGACCCAGTGGATGGGATTGGACACAAGGAGTCCATCACATTCTCTCATTGCTGCCCCAGGATCACAGGTGCACGCACTCACACAAAGTGCATATATAGGCAAATGCCACCCAGCTGGCTGGGGTGTTTAAGAGGTTGGGGACGGGCATCTGGGAACGCAGAGCAGAGGTTTCTTGGAGGACAGTCTTTGGACTGCATAAGGATCTTGCTGTGAAGCTATGCCAATAAAACTGAAGCCTGGTCAAATTCCATTCTCTCTCTCCTCTCCCTTTAATAAAGCTTGCCTGAAAGCAGGAGATCTTATCGGTTATATTTGGGGGCCATCCTTTTCTTCTCTTACTCCAAGTGGGATCTGAGGTGTAGACCTACTTTCTGACAAGGTAAGCATAATCAAGAAGTGACACTCTGTCAGCTGAAATGAATAGGCTACACTGAATTGTTTCCCTGCTGGAAGTGCTCAGTAAATGCTATCTGACTATGCACTCCTCATGTCCCCAGCAGATGCGGTGGAAGTATTAAGTATCACCTTCAACTCAGGGAGTCAGATAACCAAGTTGGTGGAACACTATAAATAAAAAAATTTCAAAACCCAAAACTTACCCCCATGTTGTAATTACAGTCAACAGAAATCTGGTGGCAACTAGAATAATGAATAATCAAGATGAATGATGTCTGTCAGGTCAGCAAAACCAGTCCTCCTTTCAAAGGATACAGCAGCTTCCCTAATGCCCAGTGATTTCGCTTGAGCCAGAAATTCCTGCTGGAAAGTCAATTATCCTGGGAGCTCCTATAGGCTGAAAGACATTTACTTAGCCAGGGATCACTGCCGCTTCTGTTATGTCAGCTGTTTACTGTGGCGGCTGAATTCCCAACTCTCTTTCTAGCTGGAGATCTGAAGCTGGTTCTTCACAGGATTCTTTATCAGGAGAGATGAAAACACAGGTGTTTTGTGTGTTGTTGTTTTTTGCTAATTACAGTAACTCCCACCACTGTGAATACTCACTCAAAAACTATTTAACACTCAGTTAGGTGGAGAGGATGGAATCCACAACATAGAATCTCAGACAGGGTTTTCCAAAGCAGGAGAGGAGTGTAAAAGCAGGCAGGCCAGTCCAACCACTGTATGCCTAGTATGATAATAAACACCTAAGTGTGACAGCTCTCCATTCTAGGAACAGAAGAGAATGCCTTGTAGGATGGGAGTTGGGGGTCACTTGCTTCAGCTCTGCCTACTAAGTATGAACCACTTAGTTTAAAAACCTGCTTAATGATGGGATTTTAGTCTGAAACGCCCCTACCTCTATGACCAAAGAGGACAAGGAGATCTGCCCAAACAGCAGAGAAATGGTACACTAAACTCTTTGAGCAATCCACTGTTTGACCCATAATACAGATAAGACAGTCAGTTACTATTTAAAGAAATGCAGGAGGGGAAACAAGATGGCGGCATAGGTAAACACCTGTACTTGCTGCCTCTCACAACCACATCAAAACTACAACTAAAAGACAAAATAAATATCATCCAGAACCATGGGAAAGCTGGCTGAGTGGAAGTTCTACAACTAGAAGGAAAGAAAAAAAGCACAAAAAAGAAAAAGAAAAAAAAGCACACTGAGACTGGTAGGAGGTGCAGAGGTGCGGAAGTATGGAGGCACGTGCAAAACGGGCTGGCAACTGGGTGCACTGCTGTTTTTTTCAATCGGGAGGGAGATACAAGCTCCCGATTGCTCTGAACTCCAGTTCCGGGCGAGACTCTAGAGCAGTGATGGCGAACCTTTTGAGCTCGGCGTGTCAGCATTTTGAAAAACCCTAACTTAACTCTGGTGCCGTGTCACATATAGAAATTTTTTGATATTTGCAACCATAGTAAAACAAAGACTTCTATTTTTGATATTTATTTTATATATTTAAATGCCATTTAACAAAGAAAAATCAACCAAAAAAATGAGTTCGCGTGTCACCTCTGACACACATGTCATAGGTTCGCCATCACTGCTCTAGAGACCCAGACTCATTCGGGGAGAAACTGGACTGTCTGGCATCCGGCTGGAACACG